AGGGTAGCCACAATGTATACCAGATAAGCAGTTAAAATTATGTTTGATATAAATCACAGTCTGAAGAATGTGTGCAAATTCAATTTAGGGAGAAAAAAAAAAAAAAAAAAAAAAAAAAAAAAGTGAGAGATTTTCATGTTTAGTAGTCAGAAAAGGCATTTTGAGTCACACAAATCCAGTGCCAGATGTAAGGCTAACTATTGGCTGAACGCTGACCATGTGTTTGAGCTGTGCGGATATGAAAACCCCTCCCAGAGCCAGATCTGCATTGCAGTCAAGGAAAGAACAAGATTTATTTCCCCTGCCCTACTGTCTTGCACAGATATGTAAGCAAGTAGGAAATCCACCTGCAGTTCCTCGCCTTAATAAAATGTACCAAATAATATTTACTATTTAGCTAGCTGTACAGTTACTGCTAACCAGTGTTTTCCAAATCTTAGTAACAAAGAATGGATGCTAGGACCAGGTATAATCACATACTACTTCTTACAATTTTGATTTCAAGAACAACAGATACTGCCTGCTACATCCTCCATTTTTCTTCTTTCTTCTACATCTCAAGGCTTTTTTCCTCCCTGTGTAGACAACATGAATCCCAATTAAAAATCATTCTACAGATCTTGTAATTCTTACTGTTCTCCCAGTTCTGATGATTTTATTATACAAATTGTAGCAGTGCTGACTCCTCATACACTGGCATCTTAAACACAATATATTAAATTTCATTTTAGCTGGAGTCTTCAACTCTAAGTGGCTATCACTTTCTTTTTTCCCCTAGCAGTATACTCATTTAAATCTACATTTAAAGAAAATGTATGATTTCTAACAACAACAACAACAAATCTAGCATAAACAATGTATATTGCTTTTAAGAAAGTCCTAAATTTACCCTAGACCCTTGTGTAAACCAAGCAGCATAGAATGTTAGGCATACAATACTTATAATCTCTAGCAAGCTCTTTATATATGATTGTTGACACTTAAACATGACACCTTTACATTTTGTCTAGGGCATAATTTTGCTAGTAGCAGAATTCCCCCTATCCTAAGTTCTAGACAAAAAATGCAAGATTCTTGTACACAGAGTTACAGAGCCAACTATGTTATAACAGCATCTCAGCAAACTATCTTTCCTTCACTGCTTGAGGTTTTCATGTTTGGTTAGTCCTAATATCATTCTCAATGCACAATTCTTCCTTTAACTTTTGTCAGAAGGGTTCAAGCAAATAAAATTTAAAGGAGAAAATTCAGATAAAACATAGAGAGAGCACATTATGGAATAAAATGGAGTCTAATATGTACAGATTTGATTAGCATCCAAAGAAGAACAGAAAAAATATTTAGGAAATTATTCATTTTTATAGAAATCCAAAATGCAGGATTATTTTCCATATTATATATCTGGTACAAACAGAAAATATTCTAAAGAATAATTTTTTTATATAGAGATACAATTTATAGAAAGAATTAATCCCATGTCCTTGAATGAAACCAAAACATACAAAGGGAAAGCTGTTATAAAGTATTTTTAATTGAGCTAGTTGCTAATTGTTTGATCTCTCTCATTTCCTGGATCACAGCTCTGAGATGTAGCTCTTGAGGAATATAAGTCATGCAAAATTGATCTAAGGTCTCTGACAGATGGAGTCTAACGGACACTGTTGCAAGACTTTGGTGTAATTTCCCCAAATGTTTTCTGGAAATCACTAAACCTGTACTAGGCTGCTGGACAAGTATGTGTGGTTTTGCTTCAAACTAGCTCATAGGCTGACATATTACTTCAAATGCACCGTTATCAATTATTAAAGTTAATGTAGGAGATTGTAAATTGAAGCAGCTGATGTACCTACATGCATTCAGTGTCTTCCACAGGAATAAAACAGACAGAAAGGGGAAATACTATCTCAAACCACTGCAGCTTAGTCCTCCAGAGAAAGACAGAGTTCTGGGGCATAAGACACTTGAATTGGAATCTGAAGTGGAAAGGGTCTTTAGGATTTGTCATTTCTGGAGTGTGTGTGTGTGCATATACCAATGTATGACTGTTTATGTATATATATTATATAAAGAGTATTATTAACAATTTCCAAAATAATGCAAATACTGTAGCATAATCATACTACTAATTCTGATATCAAGAATACTGGTTCTATATATTTTTTAATTAATGAAGTAAAAGGTGTTCATGCACCCTGCACTGCATACAAGTACAAGTAGAATTGCCAAAATGTTATCAGACTTTACACTAATATATTATCCTGTCTTTGTTCAGCGAAGCTCAGCAAGTTAAATCAAATTCAGAGATGAAAACAATTGTTTCTAAATGAAGAACATAGCAGAAGCTGCAGTTGCTTACACAAGTCAAGTGTCTGCAGTAACACTTACCCATGGTTAAATATACCATATTTCTACAACCCAGAAAAAAGAACTGAATATTAAACAAAGCTTTGCCCTGAAGCTCACATGAACACTTTTCTATACAGCACTCAGGCCTTCTTACCAAAATCGTGGTTTGTCCTTTTCAAAGTATGAAACTTAAATATATTAAAACCAATTATATTTGCAAAACTATCATCACAATACTAACATTTAATTAATAATGAGTCCATTTGTTTCTGCAATCTAAGAGGCTTATGGAAAATATATTAGGTTCAGTGAATTGGCTCCATTAGCATTACTGTTCTGGAGGCTAGAATTCAAGATCAATTTCATGTTTGCATCTTAATCTCTGTGTAACACTAAAAAAAGCCCAACCTTTGGACCACCAACAGTATTTATATATCCAAAGATTCACTTCACAAACAAATGCCAGGTAAGAATCAAGCAATAAAAATCTTCAGTAAACGCACAACAAAAAAGGACAATGAAGAGAAACTGACATTTCAGCCACAGAAATATATAAAAGTTAAAAGCCTTAACCATTTTTTTTTTGAACCAGGATCAAACTACTGTTCCCTTGGTTTACAAAGAGGAGACTACATGTTTGCAAACACTGCTAAGGAAAAAAAAAAAAAAAAAAAAAAAAAAAACAGATCACCAAAACTACATCTGCTACATAATACGAAACTTCATCTAACTGTGGAACTACCTCAGCCAGAATGGATACAGGTGTATTAAATGCTACATTTTTCTCTGAAGGAAATGGGAAGTAATACTCTACTAGATAACAACCAACCTGAAAAAAAAATTTACTAGCAGAAAATTGTTTGCCTGAATTCAAAATGATAATTTTTCACTTAAGACCTCAAACTTGTGGGTAATTTTCATCAACTGCATATCTTTGTGAAATATTTTGTGGCTCGTTTCTGGCTTGTCTGTTATGTCAGTGCAGTAAGCACAATACTATAAAATTATTACATTCTGTACAATTGATTACACGTAGGGGAGGACAATCATGAACTGAAACTGTAGAATTCAAATGTGATCTGCCTATGGCTATGCAACCAAATGAGACTGCAAGACAATAAGCCTCCATGAGTGACGCTTAACTGAAATGAATGACAATCAAACTAACAAAGGCACGGTGTTCTTCAAATTCGGTGAGGCAGCTCCTGTGTAAACTACAAGAACCTTTGAAACTGAGAAACATATTTAGCCAGTACTGTTGCCTGTCTCAGTATTCGCACCCTGTGGGTAACAGGGGCAAGAGAACAAGCAACATAAATGACGCATATATAAATTATTTTATTTGAAACAGAAAGTTAAATCGTGTGGTTTGCTTCGCTTGGAGAAGGAAGATGAGATATTGCTGGTTTTGGCCTCAGTGCAAAGGATATCTGGAGGCTGCTGAGATTTCCAGTGAGTTTTACTTTCTAGAAAGTCACCTACCTCCTCACAGAAATAAAAATATAGGAATAATCTAAAAACCTCTTTCTACTTCTGTACACAATAGTAGCCAGAACATTTCAAACCTGTTGGGAATTTCTCTCCATGTTAGGAAAAATCTCTTTAGCTAGAGAAATCAAACAGATTTTGACATTTTTGCATAAATGAAAGATGCTAATCTGAAACTAAAAGTGTTTTTTGTTGTTTTGTTGGGTTTGGATTGTGGGTTTTTTTTGTTTTTTTTTTTTGTTTGTTTTTTTTAGGAACTGCAGTGTAAAAATATAAAGAAATTAAATTAGCAGCTCATACTAAACTTCCAGTGATTCACAACCCTTTCAGTCAAGCATTTCATATGGGGGGTGCCCACCTACAAACCTTTCAGTAAAACCATGTCAACTGGTTTACTCCTTTACATAGGATAAAGATATTTTTAGGAGGTGCCAATACCTCCTGCTTAGGTTAAGTCATCATACTGAAATAGCTACTGGTACTGTGAGAGGATGGGGACAACCAAGCCTGTAGAAAGTTTGACTTTAAGGGTAAGTTTCTATAATGCTGTTTTTTCCCGATGTCATTTTCCAGATAAGGAAAAATTTGTCATGTGCTTAACTATGCTTTATTTTATACAAAATTCTTGCAGAAGACCCTTTTTTTAAAATTATGTTAGTTTATGATGACAAACACAAGATACAGGCTCTGCTTAAGAAGATACGGAGAAGTTTGGAAAACTTACTGCTCGGATTCGTTTGGGTATTTAACCAGAAATACACTAACCTACCCTCACTTTCAAAGGGTGAGTGCTGAACAGTCTCTGGAGAGCAAATCTTTTCATTGCCTCTTTGCAGCGTCTCCAGGATAAAAACAATACGTGGAGACAAATAACTTCTTTTATAAGGTCCTGGGCGCCTCAGGCGTACCCTGATACTTCTGCAGAAGTCGCTCTGTGAACGTCACATTCCCTCCTTTCCTTTCCTACAAGGTATTAGAACCCATCCGACCAACAGTCTCGCCCCGTCCCTCCCCCGCAGCAGCCCGCGGGGCCGCGGGCGGAGGAGACACCGCCCTGCTAGCGGCCCTGTGCCGGCGCTCGGCAGGCGCGGCGGGGGGAGGCCGCAGCCC